GGGGGGGGGGGGGGTACGCCCCCTCCGTATGTCCCCCACATTTTTTCCGTATTGATATACAGTTATATCAACACTCGTGGAAATTGGGAAAACTCGAAATTGTGTTAAAACACTCCTCTTGTTTCCACACAATTTCTCGTTTTCCCAATTCCACTCGTGTTGATATATACAGTATATCAATACGGAAAATGTTTTATATTTGTTAAATATAAATCATGATTGTGCTTGATGATAACCATTAAATGTCCTCGTGATCCATCAAATTATCCCTTATTGGCATCAAATTATCCCTTATCACAGCCGAATTCCCTCTCAAATTTGAACCCTGTCTAAATTCCCTCTCTAATAAGAACCTGCTCCGACAATTTAGCATGGAAGAGGTTCTTACGTAAAACGGTCTAAATGGGAATTTTTAGTGTCTAACAGGTTCTTAAAATCCAGGCTCTTCCACGCGGCTTTTTACTGTCCCGTTACAAATTCGGTGAATGTACGTAAAAGGCGAAATGGCACCTCAAATTTCCAAATATTTACGGGTTCAATTCAGGGTTCTTTTTAATATATAAAGAGAATAAATAATATTTTGCCGTTGTCTGTCCAGTTATAGACACACAGTATGACATCGTAAAGTGGGAAGAACAAAAAAGTGACTCACGAACCGCTGGGGCAAGTGGACACTTTTTCGTGCATACCGAAACCAATATGCATTAAGTTAACTCGAAGGTTGTTAGTTTTTCCCGTGGTTCATTATCGCGCAGTGACGAACTAATTAGATTGGCACGACTGTCTTTGTCGAACTTAATAGCGAGGTTCAGGACCAATCCGATGTGATTCATATATTCGATTAAGGTTACAGACACCCTTTTTGGCGTTTTGCGGAAAATCGCTACTGCGCACTCAATATCAGTCCGATTTGAATCAAATTTTCACCAAATGTTCTCCAGTGCATGCAAAATATGGTAAAGTTGTAAAATTAACAAACAATAAAATCAGTGTAAGAATTACTCAGGAAAATCTTAAATCGCGGTACCGTTACGCTTTTGAGTTGTGCTCCTGCTGGTTTTAAGTCATATTTATGAAAATATCATTTTTATACAGTAAAATAGTTGTTCTAAAAAATTGTGTTCGGAAATCTTTGTTTATTTCGTCATTCCGCTGATATGGCGATTTCTTTGACGACTGCAATATATTTCTGAATCGTTTGAGTGAATTGCTCTTTATTTTTAAAATATCTAAAATTTAGAAAAGCCGAACACAATTTTGAAGCTGACGTATTTAGTTATGTCCTGTGAAAATTTGAGAAAAATTGGTTAAAACCCGCAGGAGCACAACTCGTTTGAAAATCAGTAATTATCGTAAAATATTTCGGGAGAAAATTGAATTTGAATATTACATTTTCAATGTTTTTCTTATTGCAGCGAAATGTATTTTATTAAATAACTCTGTGAGTTTTCAACATTTTTCGTTCAAACTTGGTCAGATAGTAGAACTAGTCTAATGCTTTCATTGAAACCAATAAAAAAAATTTAGGCAAAATTAACACTCAACGGTGTTCTGTAACCTTAATTTAACCAACCAGATACGTACTAAGCCAATGAGAGGTAGCGGTAATAAAATCGTCGAACTGAAATGATTCAAACGTCATCGTGGGCCACACACTTCGAATTCATTCTTCGGTCCACTGGGAACGGAAATTAAGGACGCTTTTAAACAACGCAAGAATTATAAGAAAATGTAATCCCATATAACAACCCGTGGGAGTAAATGACGTAATTAGTTTACAAATGTTGGTGTCAGTTTGAAATAAATGCCATTTCTAAGGGCGTAGTGTGATTAATGAGAGATGAGATTATAATTGCTTATATTATACACTAAATATGGAAATGAAGGAAATAGCATTGATTGAAGCCCGACTCTAACACAACTCTGAAATCCTAACCATCAATGAACCTACTCTTGACTTCAGTGAAAGGTTCACGATTGTTTTAGGGTCAGGCTGTAGTCAATGTTATATCTTTCCTTTCATCTTCACTTCATTTTCCTTCATTCAAAAGCTTCATCCTAAACCATTTCCCCCATTCTACCCTAGGACATGACCACAGAGTATTTACATACAGAGGTCTCACTTCAGGTTAATTGAGCGTAAGAGATTTTTTCAGTCCGTCATGTTCTTAGCAAGTGCCTTGGGGAGAGACCGTCACCCCCCTGAAAACATATTGAAATTTAATGTTCCAGGGGGGTGAATGCCCATCTTTAGAGGACTTGCTAACTATCTTACGGTTTTCCAGCAGAAGTGAGACATATATGTAATGCTAATACATAACTTCAATATAGAGGTGTGCAAATCCGATCCGATTCGTTCGGATTTCGGAACAAAAAGATTAATTTCGGATTGGATCGGATTGATAAAGTTGTTTCGTAGTCGGATCGCACCTCGAAATTCGAAATAAAATGAGCTTCTTGACATGTATTTCTTGCTTTTATATTTATTTGGTTAAATATTTCCACTTGAATGAGAAATTTATTTTATTAAAGGATTCTTCGGATCGTATCGGAATTCTTTACCAAAACTCGGATCGGATTCGACAATTTCGGATCGGATTTTAAACATTTGGCTTAGCCAATTGTCGGATTATAAACATCCAATCCGATCCGATGCACACCTCTACTTCAATAAGACCCGGGATGGACTCCCTGTGAATGCACAAGAAATAACAACTCACATTTTAATAAAGTCGCTTCTAGAGTTAATTAATGAGCTTAGAGATTTTATTATGAGCAAACGCGTATAACCCAGAAAATACAACATTAATATAAATTACTAAAATAACTTATTCTACATATTAAATTTGAAATATCTCACAATTCCAATTAGAAGAATTAGAAAATTTAAACATCCGTTATTCCTGCAAGCATTGATTCGTTCTTATACTTGCCATATGGTATGGTGTTTAGTTCAATACAGTGTTATAAGTACTATACTATCATCTTCAACATTATATTTAGGGTTTTGGTTTTTACCGCGTCGAAACAACTTTAGGTTCATTGTCAACAGATCCATAAGTATTCTGAGTAGATGACATCATCAACACGGTTCTTTTGTACAGCAGCGATATTTCAGCTAGCAATGAAATCTTTTCCTAGTGGCGTAGGCGTGATTTAGTAAAGTTACATCGTATATCCAACGTCCAAAAGTCCTTGATCACAAAGTTACGAAATTAAAAGAATTACAACTTGGTAGTTCCAAAAATCTTTGCTGCATACCTCGGATACGTTTTATAATCGCATAGACGTCCGTCATGTATAAAAGCACTTATTTCAATCTAATATAAACAAACGTTTCATTATCCTATATCAAACCTGCGTATGAACTCGTAAAATGCTGTAACTGTCAAATCCCAGAGTTATTGAAAACTATTTCTTACTAATACGAATACTAGAAATAGTTTAAAACTGTTATTGTCGATTCCAAGTCACTTTTCAACGCGCGGTTCTCAAGTTTGTTGCGAACTTGCCAATTACGTTTCCAAGTTCGGAAATTGGGCTCGAACTTCGCAACAAGGTTCGCAAGTTCATTTCAATGTTTGAACTTCGTTTGTAAACAAATGTTCATACTAAATAATAATAACCAATTACATGAAATACAAATCTTCTTGGTAGCCCACTGGACCAAGAACTTTCCATTGAATTGTTAATTTCAACTTGAACTATGAACATTTGTTTACAATAATTCAAACATTGAAATGTACTTGCGAACTTTGTTGCGAAGTTCACGCCCAACTTTTGAACTTGGCAACGTAATTGGCAAGTTTGCAACGAGCTTGGGAACCGCGCGTTGAAAAGTGACTTGAAATCGACAATAAAATCTCCTTGAAAAACAGCGCAATATCTGTATTATTTTCTTGCAAATTTCCATGCATGCAGATTTTTCAAGAAATTTTTGTCATTAAATACAACCTGTCATCATGACAGATATCAAGACATTATGATAGAGACATTTTATATCCACATTTTCTCATTAGTATACTTGCGGTTATCATCCATTACTGATGAGCGCATTGAACTCTGGGACCGTGACCAGAGGCTTCGTCGTCGCTACCATCTTCGTAAACGTGTCGTTGTCGGCCGTCGGAAGACGTCGCACCAGCTTCGCCGACATCTTCGAGATCGACTTCCTCGACATCCTCACCGACCTTGGGTGGCAGAGGACGAGGAGGGAGCAATTTTTCAAGTTCCTAGAAAGAGAATTTTTCTCAGAAAATTTACTAAAGAAAATTACGAACGACAACAAATGTCTTCTCAAATGTTCACAGTTTTAGCAACAAAAAATTAAACTAAATGAATGAAGTACTATATCCAACACGAGTAAGTGTTCTTCCTCTGATTTCTAAATACAACAAGCAGGTTGAAAATACGAGGCAAAGCCGAGTTTTTTTGACCGGCTTGTCTGTATTTAGAAATCAGAGGAAGAACATTTGCGAGTGTTGGATGAGCTTCTCAAACGAATCAATACTTTAAGAGAAAAGCGAGTTTAAAGTTGACGAAAAACGGCTGTAATCTTCCTCTTATTTCTGAATACAAAATAAAGATGCATTTCTTTTGAATTTCCTTCATGAATTATTGAGTTTGAGAATTAGATTTCAAACACGGGACCTTTACAACATTGTAAGCTCACCTTTAATTTATCTTCATCCAAGAAATTCTTTTCTGGAAATACGACGTTAAATTTTATATACAAGTTTCCGTTCGTGGTTGATCTTCTGTAAATAGGCATGCCTTCACCTTCCACACCACGGATACAACCTGGAAAAAAATATTCACGAGTTTAAAAAAAATATATTGAGATTGCAGAGAATTGTTAAATCGTCAAGAAACTGAGTGGTCTGTATCCAAACTAAGAAAGAAAATTTTGTAAAATGTGATTGGCCAACACAAATTTTCCGTGGGAAAAAATTTTTGAAGTGAACATTTTCAACTTTTATAACAATGATATTTTCAGAAAATTTTCTTGAGTGGAAATGAGCTTTAATTGTGTAAATTATTAGTCTAATTAATAATTCATGAAGAAAATTCAAAATAAATCAATGTTTAATGATCGAGGTGTTCTCCACATACACAAAATGTAATACTACAGTTTAATCTGGGTTATGCCCATCAACACTAGATTACCCTTATTACGTTTTCGTAGCGCTTTGCATTATAGTGGTATCACTGATATTCAAGATGGCTTATTTTTTGTCCTGACCCATGCAAGAACTTTTAAAAAAAGCTAGGGTCAGGTGCGCGATAGCCAACAGCAAAATATTCGTGAAAACATTCAATATTTTCATTCGAGGCCGCTATCTTCATCAGTGATACCACTATAACCACAATGCAAAGCGGTACGAAAACGTAAGGGGAATCGCAAATTTTAGAAAAAAATCACTATCTGGTGGTGGTGATGGTGATTATGTATCCGGTAGACAGCGTTAGGTACAGTAAGACATATGCAAAAGGAAAAAGCAAGCAGAGCCTCTTACCTGGCTCAATGACCTTTCCTGGAGGACAGTGTATTTTAATCTCTCTCTTATCTAGGTGTGTTATAACCATATCAAACCCACACAGCGCTTCCGAGAGTGTTATATCTTTTTCTAAATATAGATCATGTCCACTTCGTTTGAATGCTTCATGTTCTTTCTGTTGTAATATGATGATCACATCTCCCGCATCAATGCCAGGCTGAAATGACAGAGTCTTGTTACTTCATTGCTCTGCAATATATATACAGACTATGTACAGATAGATTATGAAGACGCATCTTCAGTCTATCTGATAATCTGTGTAAACACATGATGAACTATCTAGGCAATCATCTTCATGTACGACCCATTTTTGCTGCATTTATATACAGAACAATGATCAGAATAAACTACTTTATATTTGGTGCATGAGTTTGTTAGTTTATGTGCTTGTGGTGCACTTGGCATGTGTTGTTTTGTGCTTGTGGTGCACTTGTCATGTGCTGTTTTGTGCTTGTGATGCACTGCCAATGTGCTGTTTTGTGCATGATCCACAGCTCCAGGACACCATACTGTAGTGCTCCATTCTACGAATCTAGTCATTTGAAATCTTCATACTGTTTTCTCACTTTTACCGCCCATTGTGTAATGCATCTTAATTTGCGCTACTTGACTCCATACTTTATTACTTTACTCTGTCTAACACCCGACCATTTTACTCATCAAGGGGAGAGTGCTGGCAATGAGTGGGTTAAAAATGTATATTTTATTGTCTCACCTCTTGATCTCCTTCTCCATCAAAAGTTATTTTTTGATGATCCTTCATTCCTTTATCCACATAAACCTGTTCAAGATCACATTCAAGAATTTATACATTTAACTTTCTTAGGAGGGGAACATTGGATATCCTGGGGGCAAATGTAGGGGGGAGGGGGACTTCATCTTTATGAGCAAAATTGTTTGGAGGCAAATCTTCACTGACCTCTAATACTTTATTTTCTTTCACTGTTTTCTTTCCCTGACATGTTGTACATTTATCTTTCTGACTTATCATTTCACCTGAGAAAATATCAGAAAAAATAATATTTCAGTTACTGTGGCAATAGATAGATAGATGGATTGCAGGGCCGCCAGGAGGAGGGAGCAGAGGGCAAATTTTTTGTTGGGAGCCAGTCATTTTTTTGGGTGAAATATTTCTGTGCAAAGGGCAAGATATTTGTTTAGTTTGTTTGTTTGTTTGCAAGATATTGATAGTTTTTTTTGTGCAAAGTACCGAAATTTGGTATGAAATATTGAGGTAAAGTCGCTGGAATAGGGGCCCTTTAACAAAAAATTTTGCCCCGGGCTCCCACCAAGCTCTAAGCGGCCCTGATGGATTGTGAAGGTTGCATCATTACAAATAACTTTATATGCCCTACCTTCCCCCTTACAAACATTACACGCAGATTGCATTTGCTGCACCATGCCTGGTCCAATGTGTCGTATTGAGACTTTCACTCCCCGACCATTGCAACTGCCACAGCTTCTCACTGCTCCAGGCTTGCCACCAGCCCTAACAAAATAATATTTCATTGTTTGATAATACAAGCAAACTTCACCTGAACTTTGGTTCTTCCCTTTGAAAAACTGTCATGTGGTTCTTCCCTTTGAAAAACTGTCATGTGTTGAAAAACTGTCATGTCAACTCCTCAATTAAGTTTGTTATCAAAATACAAGGGGCTGATTTGGTCTTATTCAAGGGGGTTAAGCTTCCCAAGGAGGTGTACATTTTCAGGGGGGGGGGAGATTTTCCAGGAGGGTAGTGCATAATATTATTAGGGTAATGTTTGTAGCACAGTGGCTTCTCATCATAAGAGGCCTGGACACTAGCTTAGTTTACTTATTTTTGCCTACTAACAAAACATGCATTATATATAATACATACCCTTGACACTGGCCGCAGATTACATTCTTTGTCAGCTGTAGTTTGCTTGTTTTGCCTATGTACAGGTCTTCCAGGCTTACTCTGAAATGTTCAATCACTTATTAACCATTTACTTCAAACTACTACACCTTGAACACACCTCAAAAGCTTAGGGCTCTTTGCCACTCGTCACAAAAGTCAACTTGCAAGCTTGCTGCGAGTGCTTGCATTGAATAATAATAAACTGACTAGCACAGTGATTGGATGTAAGCACTCACAGCAAGTTTAGGAGTTGACTCTTATAATGAATGGAAAACAGGTTTTACTTCAATGGATGAACAAGATCTTCGCCTCTTCTTCTCCGTCGACCTCCAAATCCACCAAAGCCACCTAGAAAAAATGTGATTATATTATCATGCACATTACACTCAGACAAAAAATCTTGTTTATCAGTGTAATGAATGCTACTTGACATAGATATTGATCAGTGATTACATTGGTACAATTTAGAACACTCACCAAATAATCCTCCACCACCCCCTCCAAATATATGTGAAAATACATCATCATATCCACCTGAATACAATATGATAATTAACTTTAGGGACATTGAAAAGCTGAAAACATGTTTGTTTTCATCAAATGCGTCAATCCACAAAACATCCGTACCTCTCCCACAGAGGAAATTGGACGTAAACCCCCTCTAACTCCTTCAGATGTCAGGAATACACTTACTTTCCTCAGTGGGGGAAGTGTAGATCTTTTCTGAATCACCCATTATAAAATGTCAAATTGACCCAATAAGCTGGAATGTGCTCTACTCTGCTACTTCATGTTGTCTAGTACAACAAGATGTCATTTGTAAAGGCGAAATTGCTGGGCTTAAGGTGGCTCAATACAAGTTTTTTAAAATGGAAAATTTGCATATTGGTGCATACTTTTGGACAAGTATTATGTCATTTATGTGTTGAAAAACAAAAAGCATCTTACTTATGTAAAAAATGTACAGAGTTGGAATTTTCACACAAACATTATGCAACTCTTTCAATATGGCAGATTTTTGGCTTTAAAGTAATTTAACATGAAACCTTTTATTCATAAAATGGTTTCTCTTAGAATATTGAATTACGTTGACAATTTGAAAAAAATTGAGCCACCTTAAAAGGTTAATTGTTTGTACTCCTTGTTAACCGTCTGAGTGGCAGCACTTTCCCATTGATGGGTAAAATTGTCTGGTGTTAGATATAAAGTAGGGAGCATCAGGACACATTGCCACTTAATAGACAATTCCCATTATAGACTAATTTTAAAACTAGGCAAGGAGATGCAAATAAATCATCACAGCTAGAAAGAGCATACTAAAATTAGTAAAATTACAAAATTTGGTTGCGAAATGTTGTAAAATGTGGAAAATATAGCCTTGCAAAGTTTGCAAATTTTGTATACTTTTGTATTGCGTGCGACCATTTTCGGCCTAAATGTGGTAGGAATGTGGTAGGAATTTCCGAAAAGTATACAAAATTTGCGAACTTTGCAAGGCTATATTTTCCTCATTTTACAACATTTCGCAACCAAACTTTGTAATTTTACTAATTTTAGTATGCTCTTTCTAGCTGTGGTGATTTATTTGAGTTTCCTTGCCTAATTTTAAAATTAGTCTATAATGGGAATTGTCTATTAAAAAGTTAAGTCCCAATGTTCCGTGCTACACTATTCAGTTACTCAAAAACCAGACAATTTTACTTTTCAAGGAGAAAGTCTTGCCCTACTTTGTTATTTCGCCTTTTCTAACCTCATACAATTTAACTAGTCGAAATGAAAGCATTGCGTGTTATTTGGGGTGTGTGACTCCTGTTGACAAGTACGGTGGATTCTGGTTGACTGTGAAACAATCCGTTCGTAAAAAGCATTGTAAGTCGTTTAAATTTTGAAGTTGCCAAGGTCATCTTGGTTCCCAAAATCATCTTGTATTGAAGAGCAACATAGTAAAACAGCACAGAAGTTGACAACCTGACAGTGACACAGCCATCAAATGTCCTAATATTCATCAACAATATTCCAATTTTTGTACAACAGTTAATAAAGAACAGTGCCAACCCACTATGCTGATCTCTCACTGATACTATCACTTTTAATTCCTGGTAGAAAGTTTCCATTGAACAAGAATTAATAATGAAACTAAGACAATGGTCGACAATGAATGCCAAAATGTCACACTCATGGCATGGTATTGTCAAAGACTGTCACCAATATTTTCACAAAATACCACAGAAATATATATTTAAAATATACATGAAATAACAAACCTCCACCCATTCCCTCACGTAAACCTCTTTCCCCAAATTTATCATACATTTCTCGTTTTTCATTGTCTGATAGTACTTGGTAAGCAAAACTTATCTCTTTAAACTACAACAAAAAACGAAAAATGCTCTTTAATAAGACATTTCAAAACCACTAACACGTACAGAATAGTATAAAATTATTTTATCTTCAATTTTCTTACCCTTTCGCCCTCCTCGGGGTTTTTATCAGGATGAAATTCCTTGGCAAGCTTCCTGTATGCCTAAAGTATAACACAAAATATGTCATTTTCTGTGGGTATTTACGTCGCTTTTTCGCAACTATTCTGGCCCAAAATCAAGTGTAAAATAAAGAAGGATAATTAAACTACACTTCAATATTCTTTAAATGGTCTCACCTTTTTAATTTCGGCATCAGTAGCCTCTGGTTTCACACCAAGTAAATCATACAACCTCGTGTCGGACATGTTTCTTGAAAATAAATATGGCGAAATAAAACCGGTTATGACGTCATATCGCACGTGCATAATGAACGGAAAATATGCAACGTCATAAAATTCACGTGAAGGGGAAAATGTCATGGGTGCGCATTTGGTAAAATACAATTTCACTCATTTCATTTGTTACCAATGCCAGCATCTTGACTACCATCTGTTGCGTGATAATGCTCAGTAAATGACTCATTTACTGAGCATTATCACGCAACAGATGTGCTGGCATTGGTAACAAATGAGAGATGTACTGATGCGACTGATGGAGTCCAATTTTCTTACTCCTATAGGCCCTAAAACTGTCGCCACTCGCCAGGGACGTGCCTTGTGCCCTGGACGTGCTGGCTAGGGACGAGAACTTGTCATATGGGCCCCTGCCATCATGGGCCCCTAAAATTAAAACATTGGAAAAGATAAAAAATATAGATTTTAATTTTGACAAAAGGTTTTGGAAAAAAGATTAATTAGCGACTGAAATGTTTCATGTTTGATCAGTAATACCCCCCACCCTAATCTTGACCATCCGTCACTTGGCCTGGCCCCATCAGACGTTGCTGATTCGTCGTCCTTTTCAAAACCCCAAGCACGTCCTTGAATTGTACTGTGTAAATCAGGCATAAAATATCAACATTTCTCAAAGTTCTCCACTATCTGTTGCTTTGGAGCGCTTTCTGAAACCCTGCATCAATGGAACGCAAACGTACAACGTCATTAAATTTTAATTATTCCTAATAAATATAAGTTCTCAAATACAATTTAACAATAATTATAGGTACAATATTACATACTATTGTATATATATATACAATAGGTACAACTTGGTTGAATAGTATTGAAATTTAAGCAACCATCTTAATTTAATTTATAATAAAACTATTGATCAACTACTGCTGATTAACGGAACCAGCATTGGGGAACACATGCAATAAAAACCTAGAAAATTTATAAGCACACTAAATAAATAGCTTTTACAGTAACCCATTTCTATATATTACAATTTGACACCAATTACCCTCTTTTGTATTTTGTAATTTACAATCATCAACTTTAATTAACTTTGTAATCCAAATGGAGTGGAATTACTTGTTCAAAAAATTAATTTCCGAGTGTCCCAAACGGGAACTGGACCTGAGGCTTCAGATTCAAAAGCCCATTGAAACCAATCCTATGCTGGACCAACCAACAATTTTCGGGTTTCTCTGTGTTAAGGGTAAAGGACGACTTTTATACAGACCCATTGCACATGACGTCACAGCGCCGGTGACGATGCATCTGGAGGACAAATTAGCAATCTATGCATAATGAACTTTTTTAAACAACGCAAATTTTGTAAAACTTCATAATAATTTTGTATTAAATGGTTAATTTTTGCGCTGTATGTGGTTGTTGTACCCGAACAGATATTGTTAGGGAGCATCTGGAGGACACTCTAAGGATTTGTGACGTCAGTGCAATGGGTCTATTGTTTTGTATTGGCTTTCATAACAGTTGGAGAACTCATTTACATAAGATGCGTTCATATGATTGAACCCTTTTCTCAGTTCAATGATTGAACCCTTTCCGAGTCAAATTATGTTAAAATATCACGTGATTGAAACCCAAGAATTGAGATACCCAATTGAGACAATCGGAAACATAATACGTAATTTGCATTGATCAACTTCAAAATTGTTGGAAATAAATATTTTTAGATATTTTTATACTACAATCTATGGCTTTCTGCACTTTGATCTATTTCCCGTTCACTGTCATCGCTTACTTCACTGTACATACTGTTCAAATTTTGTCGCTCTGACGATCTGGCGTTCGCCTCCTGAAAAAATGAAGGAGAGTTGGTAAGGGACTGGTCATAAAGTAACTGCTAGGGTGGGCTGGAGGTAAATCACAAATTTTGCCAATAAGTTTGGTGATTTCAAAGCCCATCTAATCTTACAAAAATTTTTTCATGACCCACCCACCCCAATCTAAATTGGGAAAATACACTTTTATAATAAAAAAAACAACTTGCAGGTATGAACACACTGCATGTACATAATTCCACCAAGCTTGACCAACACATTCATCACCAATTACGATACTGAACTGTTCTCCAGTTGGTCGTATTTGCTGTGATTCGACCACTTCTTGTTGTTGTATAAAACGGAGTACTGGCTTCAATAGCATCATTTGCATTTGATAATTTGGATAGTTTTGTTTACTTTTATTATTAATATCTTTATTTTTTGAAGTAGACATGGGTTTTTGTTTGGTGGCCCAACCGTGGACGTACAAAAAATTGGCAGCCCATCGAAATAGCCCAAAGATTTTCCATGGCCCATCCCAAATCACTCCAGCCCACCCTAGCAGTTACTTTATGACCGGTCCCTTTACAGCGTGATCTTTTACCCTCTGGGACTGAGATTCGATTCCTGCAATAATTCATCTCAGTGATGTGTGTCTGTGTGAGATGAGTGGTTCCAGTTTGACTCCACCAAACACAACAGGGTTTCTCCAGATAGCCCTGTTCTCGCCTGTGGTAACACTGAGCCAATAAAAAATGGCTCTTATCGGTCCTCTGGGCAGAACAGTTTAGAACTGTTAGAGCTATCCAGTATAAATAAAGTTAGTTTAGTTTAGGTTTCCTCCTGTAGTAACACTGGATCAACAAGAGATAATCCTTACTGGATTTCAAGGAAGAACAGTTTAGAACTGATAGAGCTATCCAGTATAAATAAAGTTAGACCGCTAAAATGAACAGACTGGAATTAAAAGCAGAACTTACCGTTCTTGCAACATTGATGGTAAAGAAAGGCATAAAATATTTCGCATCAAGACGAGCAAATCCTGTCAATGCTCGCTTAGGTAATCTCCACTCGTCGTCAGTAATTTGTTCCGAATCTAACGCTTTATCCTAGAGCAAGAAAAAGAATTTGAAAAACTTAAAGGTAACGGTATAATACATTTAGTTGTGTACACGAATGTTTTATTTAAATAATCTGCATGCTGTAAATAGTACATAGGCTGTAGACTGTTACCTCTACTTCGGTCTTGCTCAGGGAGATATCATATTTATTACTGTTTCTTTCCGCTTGAAGACACTAGAAAATTAAACGTATTGGTGGGCGGTGGTCAACATCGGAAATGTTGACACTTCTATTTATTGGCCATCAAATACAAGATTACTACATACAATAACATTATTTTCATAACATTATTTTCCTCACTTTCATAATTGCAGGTTGACCACCATCTGCTGCCCGATAGTGCTTAGTGCATGGAACCCATTCAATGGTGGAACCCGCGTCTAGCTGAGTAAGCACAACACGGCCAAAATTATTTACTCCAAAGCCTATTTTCCACTTGGAGAAATTTTTTTTACAAGATTCGCCAAACATAACAGACATAATAAGACTAATACTTTACAAAATTTACATACAATTCGGGCAGGGATTAGCCACAGAGATAACCTCCAATTATGGGGTCCCTAAATTCGCGAGGAGCGACGTTTTCCTTTGTCGACATCGCTACAGCAAAAGTGATATCGACAAAGGAAAAAGTTGCTTCATTCGAAAAAATTCGCCTAATATAGCGGAAAACTAGCTGAAATAATATACAAACTTTCCATAGTGTACCTTAAGAAGAGGCAAGGTTGCCCCGCCAAGAAACAGAATTGTGAAGAGAACTATAACCAATGTAGAAGTAACGAGAACTGATCTCTGTTCACCTCCAAACTGGAGTTGTGTACTCAAAGAAAACGCCACAGCACCACGGAGACCTGGAAGTAAGATGTTGTCACGTGGTATAATGGGATATAGCATGGTTGGTGTGGGGGTAATGAAGGGCAATACATGTATTTTTGACCAGGATTCGATTCCTGCAATGGACCTTTCACCTTTTGACTAAAATTTAGATCTCAACAAGTCTAGACAAAAATTCCATCACAACTTGAAAGAGCATCGCAGAATTACTAATATTCCAAAGTTTCGTTGCGAAATGTTGTAAAATGCGGATAATAATCATAATATAGCCTTGCGAAGTTTGCAATTTTCAGTCATATCGTATTACGCGCGGGAAATACATACCTCCTTCGGAAAAAGGGTATGTATTTCCCGCGCGTAACACAATATGACTGAAAATTGCAAACTTCGCAAGGCTATATTATCCGCATTTTACAACATTTCGCAATGAAACTTTGGAATATTACTAATTCTGTGATGCTCTTTCAAGCTGTGATAAAATTTTTGTCTAGACTTGTTGAGATCTAAATTTTAGTCTATTCACAGTTATCGGATTATAATTTTATCTCCGTCGCATGGGAGAAAAGAGCCCTTTCATTTTTCACTGACCAAACAGCGCAGGTTTTTTTCCAGCACTCTGTTTTCCTACTTTGGTAGCACTGTATCAAGGAAGAATCTAGTATATATAAAGGTCTGTCTGGCATGCATGGTAAGGTCATACCAAAATTCACAATGATTTCTCACCACTGAACCACATGATACATTGCATTTTACGACTGATTTTCACAGCACGGAATAGATTCGCCAGAGATGAGAGAGGAAAGATATTGACAGCTCTACCCACCAAACACAGAACCTAGAAACAATAATTTCAACCGTTACGTTTTACTTTATATACGTCGGTTTCACTGAGCGCTGTCGTGCAGCAGATGGTCACTCAGAGTGAGAAAATAATATTAATATTTGCATTATATGCCAATCTTGTGTTTGGTGGCAAATAAATAGAATAGCCGGTTCCTCTTTACTACGTATTCTGAATATAACGACCATGATACTTTGCGGGTATTTTCTTCATTATGCAATAACACGTCCGAAAAGCATGCTGGTAGTTGTATTCAGAATACGCAATAAGGGGAACCGGCTATTCACGCAGAGATGATTTTCTGGATCCTCTAAATCTCAAGAGTTTTTACGTTGACCACTATCTACTGCCCACCATTGCAGGCAGAATCACGTACTATGCTCCAGGCGACAAATGCAGGCTTGAAGTTGTGTTTTAAACTAAAAATTGCCATTCCAAGATATGCAAAGATACAAGTCTCTAAAATAGAAGCAAAACAGAACATTAGTATTCTTCTTATGCTGCCAAAGAAAATATAGGAAAGCCGACCGAAATTTCCTTACCAGTCATAAAAGCTATAGTTCGGAATATTTGTTGAACAGTGACTTGTGTTTGAGAAGAAAGATTAAAATGTGTGTAATGAGACATAACGATACCACAAAACAGGATTGCCATAATGCCTGCAAGACAAACAAGTTGTTTACTGGTTCTACAGTACTAGTAGAGAAGTATTACTAGGTGGTAAACAACTTTTCTCTGGGCACTGCAGTTTCCTCCTGCAGTAACACAGGATCAATAAAGGAATGCTCTTCCTGAACCTCTAGAGAGAACAATTTAGAACTAATACAGCTATCCATACCTGACAATTTCAGCCCCTCTGCCAATCCATATGGTGCGTAAGAAAATATTAATATGAAAGCTAATTCTAACGAGGGAATACGTCTCAAGTTTACATGTTTTAATAACTGTAGTAAAGTTAAGGAAATGAAAACAACATAAAATTTCTTTTAATTTCTTCTGTTGCTGTGGGTATCACAGTGGTTACTTCTGAATCCTGGGTCAGAATCCTGCAATATGCCTTTATGTTACTCTACCAAACATTGTGGGTCTCCTCTAGGTAGAATAAAGGTGTGGTTTCTTCCTGTAGTGACACTGGACCGTCAGGATGACTCTTATCATACCCCTAAGGAAAACAGTTTAGAACTAATAATACAGAATGACAATTCCAGTAATTATAATTTTGCTAAATTTTGCAAGGATACAAGAGCGCTAAAAAGAGCAAAGGCAATGCCTATACAGGCCGATCCAATAAACATAGTGAAGAAATGACCAGCTGCGGACAGGAAACTCGTGGACTCTTTCCCTTCCTCGCCAACTACAGCACTGGAATTAAAAAATACAACGGGAAAAATCAAAATAAAAACATTAAAACTTTCATTCTAGAGGTCTCCAAGGCGAATGTACATGATAGAACCAAAAATACATAAGCTCCAGTGGTTTTGTCTGAACTTGCCGAAAGACGAAAAACAACTCGACATTTCATGGGGGTCCTCATTAGAAGGTTTTAGTCTGTTTTCCACTATACTAGGCAAATTTGTTCACGCGAAGGGCCTTTTTCCTTTGTTAGCATCGCTTTTGTTGTGATTTCGTTCGCAACATGATTTTAATTCTTTTAAGGTAGTTCTGGCGCGAAAGCCCCCAATACGTACTTGGTCATAACAATAGAGACAGCATCGTTCAAAACACTCTCTCCAAACACCAACATGTTTAGGGTAGGATCCACGTCTAGTGCATGGAAAATTGCCAAGGTTGCAACAGGATCGACAGCGGAGATCATTGAACCGAAAGCAAAACTAGACAAGAATGAAATAAAAGTTTGTAAGACAACGTCACAACAATTTCATTCAGATGATGTCCACGGGCAGGCTGTATCAAAACTCAAAAGTAGTTAAAGTTCAATATCGTTAATATGAAAGTAAGTTAACCAATCACAATTCAGAGTTAACTATGTACAATTTAACTACAACAGTGTAAGAGTCTTACACAATCGACCCCAGGTTATTTGTATTGTATATTCTACTAGCCAGCGGCATAGATACTAGGTGGGAAGCAACCCACCTATCTCATGCGATGCTTACCTTTCTACTACGCTTAGTTTGAAGACAATCCCAGCCTAAAACAACAGCATAACAAGTCATAAATGTTGTATAGTCAACCAACTTTGCACCAAAACGTCGTATCTCCGCTCTCCTAGCTTAGTTTGTGCGGACAGGGAGGTAAAAAGTCTGACGACTTATGTTAGAAGATTCTTAACCTACGGCTGTGTGTCTGGCTCATCGTGTTGGCAATCAGAACACGTGAATATCATACCTGGCCAAGGACATAAACGCCACCACCCACAACTGTAGCTGAGATAGCTGTTCCAAACACGGCAAACAATAAAATGGTCCCAATGTTCGCAAAGAAATTACCCTATACACAGTGAAAAATTGTGAATTAATGTAGCTACAAAAATACTACAAACATTGAAACTACAATCACTTTCCAAGAGAATGGCGTACGTACCTTATGAAGGGAGTAACCAGATTCAAAAATAATTGGTGGCAGAAGAATGAGAAAGAATATTGTAGGATCCAACTCTTCTTCTTGCTAGAAAATAGATCATTTGATAAATTGGAACCACGTTGATAACGAATGAATGATTCAGTGATGTTTTTCACATGTACTATGTATTTACTCACCCTCCAATTTCCAACATTAAAATGAGTCAAAAATTTCGTGATCAGACCCACCAATGCACCTAAAGCAAAATTGTCATGAAGCAACTGTGGGACTCATTCATTGACAAACTTACTGACTGCCCAAATGACTGTCTGTCTGTCTGTTTGACTTACTGACTGCCCGAATGACTGTCTGTCTGCAGTTTGACTCACTGACTAACCCTGGATAGGACTTGCCCAGAATGGCGTTCTGTCGAGCGCGCCCTTACGCGCGCCTCGAAACATGTATCCACGCATTTTGACAAACGCCTTTTTTTCATGATGAAGAAACTATTCTAAACCTTATTTGAAACCTGGGCAATAAATGTTACTATTGCAAAAACAAATGTGTCATTCATTCTAATTTAGTAGGTGCGCGAGAAAAGCGTCGTAATACACCCTTCCGGAACTGAAGTATGTCTCTTTGGCTATAGAGCCTCGTTTTCGTGATATCACTTAAAGCCCAACATCTCAACCACGAAAACGATGCTTTATAGCGAAAGTGACGTACTTTCCGCAAGCGTGTATTGGGTCACGGAGGTGCGCTATTTGTCAAGTGCGTTTGTTTTGTCAGGGCAAGGCTTGCTGAGGGACCAAATAATGTGGCTGACCGATGGACTGGCTGACGAACGAACCAACAAACTGGTTGAAAAAAAAAATGCAACCATACCTAAGAAAACAACGGCAACACTCTCAGGAAGGTAATGAAAGCGATGTTTGATAAGAAAGTAGATCACAAAAATACACAAGCCTAGAAAAGTACAAATAATAATAAAAATAGGTACGCTATGCGTACGTGACGTTGGATATAAACCTGGGGCAGTTGGTTCAAAAGGTGATTAGCTTAACCTTACGTTAACCTAAACTTTAAAGCAAACTTCCTGACAGCTTGTCTATAAATTTGGAAATATTTCTTCAGCAATCTTGGCTGGATCATAGGAATTTCCCTGGAGTTTAGAAATAAATAGACATGCAGAAATAAAACAAACCAAAACAGCGGGTTAAATTTTAACCCAGGGTTAGTGCTAACCAATCTTTGAACAACGGGCCCTAAGTAATAAGTTAATAGTTCTAAAAATAGGTACGCTGTGCGTACATGATGTTACCAATGATGAACATGCATACCTACAATAATACCTCTAGTACTACTTAAAAATAGGTACGCTGTGCGTACATGACGTCACAACTGACCTGAAGACATAACTGGAATAATATCTAGTAAAGTCGCTCAGAAAAGCAAAATAAAAATCCAGGATATTTACCAACAACTAGCAAAATGAAAAATATTTCCATTGACTTCTCATGTTCCTCCTCTGCTGATGCTGGTGCTTCTTCTGTCGTTGTTACAGTGGTGGCGCGTAGGGTGGTTATTACTGGTGGCTGAGTGGTACCATTACTGAAATAAATGAACTTTGTTAACATGGTGACATACTGTATAGGATGGTTAGGCCAAAAAAAAAAATATGTGGGTTTCCGGTTTCTTCTTATAAAAACTTAGGTAGGGTAGGTCGGTTTTAACTTTTTTTTTTAACTTTTTTTTTTAATTTTCCGAACAAGCGGACGCCATTTTGTTTAGTCAGTGCTTCCACATCCAAAGATAAATTTCCCTAATATTGCCTCAAATTTCAATTTTCTGCAAACTTTTTCCTCTAAGTGGAAACACTTACAAGATGATCCAATAAAAAAGTTTAGGGTCGGGATTTCGACGTCCAAAAGCTAGGTAGGGTCGGGAAACCGGAAACCCACATATTTTTTTTTTTTGCCTTATTACTGTGATTATGAAATAAAATATATATGAGGATGTCTGAAATCCCATGAGAAAAACAATGTTGAAATTGGCAAATGCAACCTAATCAACAACTGCAAAGATTTAATATAAAGAATATATTGACAATAGAACAGTGATCTGGAGATTTGTTAAAAAATCAGGTGTCACCAGTTGAAAGATTTGGGTGAATTGGCAGGTCTAATAACCATTCAGTGATTGGAATATTCCATCGTTAGGCTCAGCCAGAATACCAACATACTCCATAACACTGGCTCAATATACCAGTATACCCAAAATTCCACACTACGATACCTGTATTTCAACTATTTTAAAATAAAATTCTGTATAACAAATGTAAAATGGTTTATTATATATTAGAGAGTGAGATACTGAAAACTACACAGTGAGATATTTTCCATATCTTCACTAGTGAAGATATCCATATCTTCACTAGTGAAGATATCGATCACGTGACAATTTGCTTTAGAGCGTGAAATTTCACATTTATTGCTTGGGACTATCACTCGCTGTGCTCGTTCGTAAAATATTGTTTTCACCACTCGAAGATAAAAGTCATATCTTTGTGCCGCCATGTAATATCCTCTATATATACCAATATATATACATACGAAACCTCTGGCTAAGGCAGCCTGCATCCAGTATGGAATGTAGGTGGTGTGCACGGCACATGTGCCGTGCACAATGTTGCTCCTGCTAATATATTTACTAGTATTTTGGTGCACATTTTGGCAAATGTGCAGGCGGTGCACAAAAAATGTCATTCCATACAGGGCCTGCATTGTCTTTTCATTGTTTTGAAAATACTGCTGTTCTCCATGATATGCATTCACTCAATGTTTGACCTACTTGAAAGGGCCTGCAAAGGACATATCATGCACAGACCAGATTTACAGTTTGACCTTTTTGACCAGATTTAACTTGTGTGTAGTCAGGCATATCAATTTCTCAAATACAATATTTTCTTGTAAACCGTTCCTGTCTGAGACACACTGATAAACTACAGGAAATAAGCAATTATTTTAGTCACAGTATTAACACGATCTTGCCACGTCGTTAAGTGTTTTATAAGTGCGTCTTGTATTTTTTGCAATAATATATAAACGCTTTCAAATAAAAATACAAAAATTATATAAAGCGAAATATTATGAATTATACATCCCTCATTGTGAAATCAAAATACTCCAGATTAAAACCTAATCTTATATCAGACTTATTTAACAATAATAAGCATTACCTGACATTTGAAGATTTATTGTGGAAATTTATAATCGACGACATAGGTGAGCTAGTCATTGGATTTTGTTCATTCGCTGCAGCCAAAACACCTAGACAGACAGAAATATAAATACTGCTACATAATCTCCAATATCCAGCCATTTTAGCTTAAAGTTAAGCCAAGATCAATAAATATAAAATTGAAGACATATTTCAAATATTTTTTTGTGTACTTTTTTATTAAATACATCAAGTGACAAAGATGGGGAACTGGGGAGAAGTAAACAAAACTTCTTAAATCCCATCATCCAGAATCATTTCATACTTTGACTCACTCTTCGTAATTTATCCTTAAAAACAGGAGAATCCATATGCCTGTTATATTCATTTCAATGGCCTGAATCTGGGCCTAAATGCAAGAAGCGGCATTTTCGAGAGCCAAATTTAAAAAAAAAATTACTTATATTTACAGAATAAGAACAATTTGGATCTGTTATATATTATGAATTTGTAACTATGTTTATGTCATTTAGGGAATTTTAGGAAAATTAAGGAATTTCACCGCTGGAGTAAAGGAAGTATACAATCTTCATGTACAGGAAGAAGAGCATTCAAAATATTTTTGTTTTACAGAATGAAAGTATTTCACAAATGTTATGGAATATATACACTTTGAAAAGGTTTGTACCGAATGTTTAATATCTGTAGTTTTTAATATAATGTTGATTTATTAGTGTTATTTTTAATAAATTTGAAATTTTTCTCTTAGCAAGAAGGTTCTCTATGTGCCCAGCATTGTCTGAACTCTCTGCTGCAAGGTTTGGATAGAAACTTAAATAGATTACCAGAATTTTAGTTACATAAGCTTGTGTTTCACCCGTTTATAATTGTCAAAGCTTTTGTTGTAAATGTAGACAAAATAATAAAAAACATTTTGTCTAACTTGAAGTGTCTAACTTGAAGTACTATGTTTAAAGCACCCTAAGTTGACAAGTTTGAACTTGCCCCTGATGTAAAATGTCACTGCCATATGTAACAAAACTTTCTGCTGTGAATTGGAACTTATGAAATTGGAACCCTAATCCTTCATCACTTGCCATTTGGTTTTGCAAAATACCATAAGCCCCCATACAATGTCAATGGTAAAATTTAAGTAACAAGAATAATATATTGGGCATCTAAATTCTCAATACAATATCTATTTCCTGTTCTATTGACTTAAAAAATTTCAGTCACAGCATTAACTACACACAAGAGCTCTTGGCTGAGCTAACCCAGGCCATGAGAGGCCATATAGCTTAGCAAGGTTCCACTAACCTGTAATGTAACGAGGATTCCTTCCTTTCCCCTCTTTCACTATAGGTCCATATTTTACGCCGGTTGATTTGGCACAACATGCACGTGAGCTTGACGAGGCTGAAAGACAAACCATGGCAGAGGGGGATATCAATTCTGATGATTATGTTAAGTTTATGAATGTATGTCCTAAATCTTTATTTAGGTCTGTCTTTATTTATACCCGGTACTGGATAGCTCAATCAGTTCTAAACTGTTCTCCCTAGAGGTCCAGTAATTAAGAGTCGTCTCTTATTGATCCAGTGTTACGTCAAGAAGAAACCTGAACTAAACTAACTTATTTATACTAGATATAGCTCTATTAGTTCTAAACTGTTCTATCTAGAGGTCTGGTAAGAGTCATCTCTTATTGATCTGGACAGTGTTCTGGAATATCTAGAGAAAATCTGCAATGTTTGCTCAAACTGGAAACACTCTCCACATGCAATGGAGGCAAAAATCCTCAGTTGCACAGGTGTAAGGTGGGGGGGGGGTGAATAGGTTTTCAGATCGTCGGATTTCACAGAAAAAATTGTCCGGATTTCGGATCTGGCGAATGTTTTACACAGATTTCAGATCTTATTAATACAGCAGATTGCGGATTTATCTAATATTTTGGCGCGGATCGCGGATTTTGCTTCAAATCAGTGGATTTGTATACCCCTATTCACCCCCGCCCTGTAAGGCACCACATTTCACAAAATTCATTGAATTATACATTTTGCAGCAACCATCGTCAAATATGGATGATAGTGGCTTCTTTTCAATCCAGGTACTGTTAGTGGTGGTATATCTTTAAATCTGAAAATCATTGTCATGGAATAATAAAAATTACAGTTGTTCACATCTTCTAAAATTAGCCTGCAAAGCAGAACCAAGCCCGCGAGTGCCTGCTTTGCAGGCCTCCAAAGTATTTATTCTCTGGAAATATAATATTTTTTATAAATTTAGTGTTTACTGATATAGGTAATCTGTAGAGCATTGGAAGTCTGGAATCTCACTGCTATTCCCTATTCAAGTCCAAACGTCGAAAGCGCAAGACAAAACCCAGCGTAAGATATGTTAAAACTACAAGTGTAATGCAATAATCTTTTCAATAATCTTTGTAATAACTGTAACACAATGTCATCAACTGTAACACAATGTTATCAAGATTTTGAGCCGAATTTGTACAGGAATTGCCTCGCATTCATTGTCAACTTTAATAATAATAATAGTAACACGAAATAGCGCTAATTGTACGCACGTAACGCAAGGACACGCTTTTCTTTCCCGCGAGTGCACGCATTTACAGCGCAACTGAACATACATGCGCACATGGTGTACAATACAGCACCAGGTACACTACAAACAACACCCCTGCAACACCAACTGCATGCATCTGCAACAGAAGTAACAGAAAGTACAAACACATCTACCGCAAAATATACGCATTTATACCACTAAAGCCCGGCTTACACTACGCTCAATTTTTGGTACGGCGCGGATAAAATTGGTACCCGTACCACTTTTTTGGTTCTTGGACGGTATATTTAGACAGTCCAAAAACCAAAAAAGTGGTACGGTACCAAAAATTGAGCGTAGTGTAAATGGGACTTAACTACTGAACACATATAGACGCATGCAAAGTTCAAACGGCTCGAGTATTACGACTATTGTACTGTAAACTGCACACATCTACCTAAACGCGACTATATCTCAGGACCCGAGTATGTGGTAGAAATCAGGACCCGAGTATGTGGTAGAAATCGCAGCAGAAATTGCAAGTGTAAACGGGCTTACCATAAACTGCGGCGGACAAGCGAGACTATACAGTGCAGCGCAGACGGCTAGGTCACCGCAGAAAGCTCCAAGTCTGCCGTATCACTGAACAGTAACGCTTACTTTACATTCATATATTCTACATTTTTATTAGCGGTGAAAAAGCGTTCATTTGTAATTTACAACAACATTGGTTTACCATTCGAAAGTTGGGACGACAGGTATCTACGATATCTTCTAATTGCAACTTCGTTAATTTGTTCTCTAATTGATACATTTTCCATCTGTTGTGTAGTGGTTCAATCTAAATTCGACTGCATCTGGTCCTGAACTAATATCAGAAACATATCTTTCTCTCTTTTTAACACAACTACAGAATGAAGGTATTCATTCTATTTTAGCTCCATTTATATTGGACGGGACGGACTTAGGCAAAGAAGAGATAGTTCGTCTAATAATTTGTCTGTGTACTTCCTACCCCCTACAGGTTATTCAATCTTCGTTGTTCGAGGTGTGTTTCCAGATTGTGAATCTGATAAAGTTTTAACTTTACTTCCTGTTGACCCCACCAAAGTCAAGTCAACGTCAACAAGAGGAAAGTCGAAAAATGTAGCAAAAAATAACGACACAAAAACTCCTGAACCAAAACAAGGTATAAAATGCTTCACAATATTTGCTTCAGTGGCAGTGCACACGAGACATGAAGTCGAGGTTCACAATGATTTCCCTCGATTTCTGCTTAAAACATTCTATTTCAACACACCCTTCGGTTCAGTCTTGGCCATACAGCCTCGTTTTCGCCGTTGAGTTCATAGAGTTGCGATATAGATAATCTAAAAAAACTCTTATATAATTAGTTCATCAGTAACAAAACAAAAGGCTCCAACGCTGAGATCTCAAACATGAAAACGAGGCTCCATAGCCACGGCTAAGTACTTTCTGGAAGGGTGTATTGTATTTGTGGCTAAAATTCGTCTTCATTTTTAGTCGATGTAGACGAAGTGAGGAGAAAAAGGGAACAGTTTTACTCGGCAAGGTTGGTTTCTTGCGTTCTTTGGTAGGAAGGTAGAACAATAACTACTTGCAGCTGAAGAGAGTGTTTACCATACTTTGTTATAGATTTAACAATGATTCAGGAACATCATCATCTCAAACAAGTCAAACGATCACTTCTCCTTCTCAAGGTAAAGAATATACTCATCTCATGTTTAGACAATTTAACCACAGCAGTGTGAGTTCACAACACCTTGAGACGTACGGAATCCGTCAAAGGTTCTGTGATCACAGTAGGAATTTTGCATTGGTATAATCGAAGTTTTGAAGGATTTGTAAGAAATGTTTGAGGGAACTGACTTACGCCCGTATTCTAAAAGCTCACTCACACTCAATGAGTGGAGGTTCAATCTGAGCTTCTCTTGAGTGTCAATGCTGTTTTTGAATAGCTGGAGGGTGAGTAGTCACATAGTAAGGTACGACACTAAACCTCCACCTATTCAAAAACAGCACTGACACTCAAGGGAAGCTCAGACTGAACCTCCACTCAATGAGTGTGAGTGAGCTTTTAGAATACGGGCATTAGTGTTTAAAAAGTTTAACAGTTCTCTCAGACATTTCTTAGTACAAGTCCTTCAAAGCTTAGAGTTTACCCAAGCAAAATTCTTACTGTGCTCACAGAAACTCTGACAGTGTAAACCAGCCTTGCGGAAAGTGCTGGAATACAACAGTATCGTGATTCTATTTTTTTAATTTACATTCAGAACACTGAGGTTACCTCAAACCTTCACCCAATATGGTGAGGTATTCTGACCAGGTGTGGTATGTTCGTCTCAATTTATAACTCAGGTCTATTGTTTTCATTTCACAGAAGAAACAGAAGAAGAGATGCTTCAAAGAGCTCTGGCACTTTCCCTAACTCAGGGCTGATGAAGGTCTCATAACAGCGCACAAGAGAGAACACGGGATTCCTGTAGTGGCCACAATAGAACGCAGGAATTACGGCTGGTTGATGGACACAGTAGGAAACAAACAAAACATTGATCTGACTGCAGTTGGATGGGAATTATTCAAAAATTGGTAAAAATCTAAGAAGTATCAATTAACTTCACGATAAAATGAACGTGTAAAGAAAAACATTATTACATTATCAAATATTTGACAAATAAAGAAGTCTGAAGTGTAGATTTCAAAAACGTTTACAGCAGTAGAAAGAAATACATGTACATTGTATTATGGAAGACCTGTACTTTTAAGGAAGTTCAAGTATCAGATTAAAAGTTTGATTGGTCTATACGCACTATTTACTGTAATCCATGTGTGCAAAAATGAGTTCGCTAACATACTAATCATGGATATACATAGTCGTAAAAAAGATCTTTTTGAGTTTCGAGTTCAGTACATGTCCACTTCTCTGTCACACTGGTCTACGTCTATTGAGATAAATTAAAAATGACTATAGTGCCAGGTGCATATCTCATACATTTTCTGAGGCTTGGCTTACTTTTTCGTACTATTTCCCTCGCCAGACTTTTATTTTGTCTATGCATGCTTCACTGACAGACATCAACCAGTCCCATAACGAGACTAATCACATTTTTAGCCAGAAAAATAGCAGAATCAAAATCGTAGTGGAACCACAACACTAGGCGAATAACCAGGAAAGCCACATTTAAAATAATTTGAAAAACAAGAGTACACGCCGCTTTTTTCTTACGCAGCGTCGGTTCGGCATCATCTTCATCTTCGTCAAATTTGACTTGGTGCACTTCGAGAAAAGAAAGCAAAAAGAACAATAATGCGGCGACTAAAACTGCAATCTCCCATCCCATGGGTATTTTGTCACAAATGTCTTCATGCAGGACTTCTATCATTTCAATGCCATCAAAAAGATCCATAACTATCATGAGATAGAGTTGTCTCAGTGTCTCAGTTTTATCCGTCACGGAGGTTAATAATAGCAACATTAGTCCTGGGGTGAAACATAGTGTTATCTTCAGGAATTTTGAGTCGAAGAAAGAATGGTCGGTTGTTGCGTTAACATTACGTGTGCATAAACATGTGGCTATTTCTTGTTCTCGTAGCTTATTGTCTTCGATCACTGCCCGTCCAAATATCACACCAATCATGATCACAAGCACACAGGAATAAAGGAACCATACAGTACTCAAATATTGTTTCAGTGGCAGTTCGTCACTACACAAAGTTACAATCCAAAAGCCTACTGGTATGAGAAGCATCGCTACTAAGCCATAGAAACCAAGATTATCTTCATGATCAGCTACAAACTTCGACAACAGGACATGTTGGGCAACGAGGAATGCAAAGAAGAAAAATCGGCTTACTATATAAAGCCCCATTCTGTGATTCGTAGAGTCGCGTTATTAAAGAAATACTGTGTGCGTACGATACACGTTTACCGTACCTTTTACAAAATGAAAATGAAAGTCATTTTAAAGGGACGTCAGTTAAGGGGACGTCCCATTTAATGAAGACGATATGTATACAAGACATTGCTATGGAAATAGGAATGTTATGCACAATAAATTCAGTTAATCGCGCAAACCAATCCATCTCTAGGATGTATAACACACAAAACGGGCCTATGGCTATGTCAATTTTTCAACATTAGGCATTGCAATACTAATATTATTCCAGAAAACTCCAAAGACTGCAAGTTTTTAACATTTTTTGCTTACATTTTTGTTGGAATAAAAGTGCAAGCTAAGCCAAAAATTTGCGCATATAGTGTTTCGTTTTTCCAAGAAAATGGGTTCTAAGAATCTGGAGTAGTTGCAGAGCTGCGCGCGCATACTGTCGAGTAATAAAACTAAAGTGAAGATATAATGAATGCATGGACATCATATTATAGAAAGTGTACATCTGAAAGAAATACTGATTTGAAAAATGAAATATGGCATCGTCATTGTGAACAAATATTACAAAAGGACTGCTGCATATTAAAAAGTAATAAAAAACAAACAATTTTTGTTTTACAATTTTAACAGCTACTCAGTCAGTTCCAGACAAACGGCCTTCGCTCAAATCG